CCCTGTTGCTGCAACCCTCACAGTGCAGAAAGAGAGGGGCTTCTCCAGATCTCTGTTGATACCAGTGAATTATTTGGCTGCCATCATTAGTGGTACAGGAGAGTTTAGCTGTTTGTCCCAGGGTCGCCGACTCAGAGGCAGGCTGAGTCCAAGCTGACTGGGAAGTGACACCTTCTAAAAGGAAAACCAGAAAGAACAGGTACTATGAGCTGGATGCACTTTCAAACACCCACCAAGTAATATATTCCATTGATAAATACAAAGAGCTTCGCTTGGTCTACATATCATGAGGTCATCTCCACAGTCCTACCTGAGCAGTAAGTGAAAAGAGCAAAGAGAAATAGAAATTGGCCCATGGTGAGTTCTCCAGAAGTGTTTGGCTTACTCAAGGAATCATCCCCTCTCTTCTCTTAAATCCTCCAGAGTGGAAGAGTTGCCCCTTCTTCATGCAAATGTCCTCGGTGATCAGCTGATCACCTCTGCTAGAACTTCATGTTCCTGCAGGGCATTGTGGGACATTCAAGCACAGGACAGAATGACAAATTTGCATTATGGGTATTTTGAAAGGGGGTAGGACAAGTCCTTGGTTTGGCCTGAAGGAGAATCAGAAAATTCCTCGCAGTTCAATGGGGTGGTCAGATGTGCAAAGGGTATTTTTGTCATCTTCCTGGTGCCTTTGGTTAAGGATGGGCTGTAAGCACAGATATTAAATAAAGTAAAGGAGTACAGCTCAGAAAGAGCAACCATGTCCCTAAAATATTCCCCTTTTCTGTTTCCCAGCACATTTCCAAAGGGGTCTTTGTGATCGGTTCATTTATGTCAGAAAACAGGACCAATATCTTCCCCTAGTGGTGAAAGGCAGCTTAGCAAGCATAAATAAAGAAGGTTTCATAGCAGAACACGGAAGGCACAGAATTAAACAGAAGAGTGAAGGCCTTGCCTCGGACTTCTCATTCCCACAGAGTCTTTTGGGACACTGAAGCATAGGACCTGGGGGCAAATTTGCCTGAAGGCCATTTTGAAAATATAGAATATGCTTCACCAGGAGGAGAACAAGACAGAGAGGATGGCATATCCCACGTCGATAAAACCCAGGAATACCTAGTGTTTTGAAAATGGATCATGAGAACATTTTGATCTAGTGTTCAACATGTCGCTTGTGATAATTTCTAACATGGGATGGGGGGGCCAAATTGATCATTTTTCGTATGGTGAGCTCTCCACATATGTATCTTTCCCTCATGGAAACGTTAAAGTGGTTGAGTTTTCCTTTACATAGATAAAGGTAAAGGGACCCCTGACCATTAGGTCCAGTCGTGACCGACTCTGTGGTTGCGGCGCTCATCTCGCTTTACTGGCCGAGGGAGCCGGCATACAGCTTCTGGGTCATGCGGCCAGCATGACTAAGCCGCTTCTGGCAAACCAGAGCAGCACACGGAAATGCTGTTTACCTTCCCGCCAGAGTGGTACCTATTTATCTACTTGCACTTTGATGTGCTTTCAAACTGCTAGGTTGGCAGGAGCAGGGACCGAGCAACGGGAGCTCACCCTGTCACGGGGATTTGAACTGCCGACCTTCTGATCGGCAAGTCCTAGGTTCTGTGGTTTCACCCACAGCACCACCCGTGTCCCACTTTCCTTTGCATAATATGGCCTTCCCTGCTTCTCTCCCTCTCCCTCTCCCTCTCCCTTTCCCTCTACCTCTCCCTCTCCCTCATGCAGCATCCCACCCCACCGCCAGCGCTCAGAGCACAGCGGGAAGGGTAGCAAGCCAGCATGCACACGCACACACCAGCTCTCCCTCGGAGGCAGCAGGGCAGCATCTCCCTCACGTACCCCCCTAGGAGCACATCAATCAACCTGTAACCGACCATAATCAGTCACAGGTTCCACCAGTCAATCGCGATCGATGTGTTGTACATGCCCACTGTATATAATAAGACTGCTTGAAAACTGAAGGAGTCTGCTTGCTGCCTAATTAAGCCTAATTAAACCAACGAGATCGTGACACAGGTGGAGCAGAGATGTCTTTTGCTTTCTTTATCAGATATGTCCCACCAATGAACCTGTGCAGGTGGTCATGTCTTCCAGAAGAACGTGAGAGAGGCTGCCCAGTAAGTCTCTTCCAAACCAGGGATTCGAGCAGCTGTGGGAACAGACTGAAGCCAAGTCTTTAAGCATTTTCATTTTCACCTCTCTGGGGAGGGTGAGTGAAGGTTTTTGTCGCAGTTCCCCATCAGATTGTACCACTGTGGAACATGCTGCCATCCCATGTGCAACAGTAATAATCAGCCTCATCCTCAGCTTGAGCGCCTGTGATCACTAAATTCCAGAGGTTGCTGGAGGAATCAGGGGAGACACTGAATCTCTCTGGGACCTCGGTGCCTCTGCCCTGATCACTAGGTTTATAGTAGTGGTATACAAACCGTGGGGCACCACCTGATATCTGCTGGTACCACCTGACCCTATAGCTGCTGATACTGTATCCAGCATTCAAGGTGCAGGAGAGACGGACTGTCTCACCTGAGGAAAAGGATGCTGAGGGCCTCTGAGTCAGCACTGGCTGGGAGGAGGAACCTGCAAGGAGATAGAAATCCCAAAAAGAAATAATTGTATAAAAACCGTAGAAAAACCTCAGTAAAAGCTTTGGGACCCTGGTGGGGCTCATCACAGAGCTGCTCTCAAGGGTTTAGCTGATTATATTACCTGAAGGATAAGTGAGGAACAAGAGGAGGACCAGGAAGGACCAGGCCATGGAGAGAAATCCTGATACACTCTGCATCGTGAGACAAAGGGGGTCTCTGCCAGGGATCTCAGTGATTTGCTCTTTATAGGAGAAGAATGTCACTCCCCCACCAATCACATGTCAGTAGGTCTCTCCGCCCTTGCAGGAGAAGCTCCATATATGGTGAGGAACGAGCTTCTGAGCTTCAGTTCCTTCAAAGCAGAAGATGAGAGATGGAGATGGGAAGAGATTGTGGCATTCAAACCCTTACGTAAGAAGGAAACACATTAATTCACCATTCCTTGGTCCAGTCTAAGAGAACAATAACAATCTATCTGAAGCGAAAAGAGATGGAACTAGATTTGCAATATTGTACTGCACAAAATCCCAGTGAGTCCAATATGACTTAGTCTGGAGAAGTAGGATTGAGCTGAATGGGCAGATCTGTCAATGTTCCTTTCTTTCAGTATTTCTCTTTCCCCGTCTTAACTTCCTTTCTCCACATTTCAACAGCAGTTTGCAAAGGGGAATTTAAAAGTCCTCATGAAAATTCACCAGCACTTCAGTGTGAATTTGTCTGAATAGTTTGGATTTCCATTTTTTATATACAATTCTTCCTAATACAGTGGTACCTCGGGTTAAGTATTTAATTCATTCCGGAGGTCTGTTCTTAACCTGAAACTGTTCTTAACCTGAAGCACCACTTTAGCTAATGGGGCCTCCTGCTGCCGCCACACCGCCGGAGCACGATTTCTGTTCTTATCCTAAAGCAAAGTTCTTAACCTGAGACACTATTTCTGGGTTAGCGGAGTCTGTAACCTGAAGCGTATGTAACCTGAAGCATATGTAACCCAAGGTACCACTGTATACACATGTTTCTCCCTAGAACTATGCATTTTCGTATATCATTTTCAGTAATGTGTGCATTTTTCTGGACACCACACCATCTTATCAATTTTTGAACACTTTACTTGGCTGACGAACTTTGTAGCAATATTCATGATTCTCATAAAACGCAATTATATCTATGTATAGCCCTCTATCAACCTTTCATCTCAATCTTCCATCCGCATATCGAGAGCTGAGTAACCCCATCTCCCACCTGGGAGGTCTCCCTCATGCCTCCGCCTCAAACCTTGACAAAACCCACTCTGATCCATCTCTCAGACAGATCCCTTCCTTTTCCAACCCTCAGTTATCTGTACACATTCTCCTTTAGCACAGATCTAAATATTCAAATATTAAAACTTGCATAGAGAACTATAAAAAAATAAAGATCATAAAAAGCCAGTTCAAAAAAAGGGTCTGGTCAATCCTCCCCCCAAAAAAGCTCAATAACTCTAGGCAAGAACAATGGGTAGATCACTGCCTGTTTTTTATACTGAGAGTAGATCACAGTCTCTTGGGAGTTGGATGCGCCTGCTGTAAAGCATTATGGGATATTTGGACATAGCCAATGACCATAGGACAAATTTGCATAAAAGTCAGTCTAAAGAAAAACAGGGATCCAAGGAGCACTAATTTTTTAGTGTGGATCATCTCACATGTGAATACAGTGGTACCTCAGTTTTCGAGCGTCTCTGTTGACGAACACTTCAGAACTCGAACGCCGTAAACCTGGAAGTAAATGCTTCCGTTTTTGAACGCGCCTCAGAAGTCGGAGAGCTTCCGCTGAGTGCATATGTTATTTTTCTCAATTGTCTCTATTAAATTTGCAGACCGCCCTTTGCACCTCGGTTTTCGAACGTTTCGGAACTCAAACGGTTTTCCGGGAAGGATTACGTTTGAAAACCAGGGTACCGCTGTATTGTGAACGCTTGGGAATTGGCACAACCTCTCTGCCTACTCCACTGCCACCAGAACGCCAGAACCCTCTTGCCATCAAGAGGGAGGCGTTCCGGTGAGCAGCATTGCATGACATAATTCCCTGTTTCTCACCAAGTGCAGTGATAGGCGGCTTTTCAGCAGTGGCAGAAGTGGGGTGGGCAGGGGTATAGCAGTGGGGCAGGGAGTAGCAAATCCCAATTTCACCTCAGGTGGCAAAAAGGGACAGGCCGTTCCTTGGCTTGGAAGGTGCACGGTCATCTTTGAAGTCCCACCTTCTTCTGCAAAGGGTTTCCTGTCTCTTCCAGTTCGGTGCATTGCAGGGTTGACATGACACCAGCTGCAGACACAGGTGACAGGAAGAAACAAAAGACTTTTAAGACATCAAATGACTTACAAGTTCTGTCCATAGTAAATTTGACTTGGCAACAACCACAGGAATAGATCGTATTTACATTTTGAGAAAAACATTCACATTTCCTCACTCAGGCAAGAAAGAGTTTTGTCGCAGTCATGGTATTGCTCCTGCTACAAAGGTTGGGCACCACCCCTCCCACCCACACATACACACACACAGCCTAGTGGTAGCAGGATTCCAGGGGGTTTCCAGGCACTCTCACCCAGGGTTTGTGCTCCTCTGGAGAATTAAAGATGTGGCAGAGACTGTCGTGGCTTTAAGAAATATGATTTATTCACAAATTGATAATAAACTGTGTGTGTGTGATTATTTACACTTGCAGATAAAGGGGACACGGGTGGCGCTGTGAGTTAAACCACTGAGCCTCTTGGGCTTGCCGATCAGAAGGTCGGTGGTTCGAATCCCCATGACAGGGTGAGCTCCCGTTGCTCTGTCCCAGCTCCTGCCAACCTAGCAGTTCCAAAGCATGCTTGTGAAAGTATATAAATAGATACCACTGTGACAGGAAGGTAAATGGCATTTCCGTGCACTCTGATTTCCATCACGGTGTCCCATTGTTCCAGAAGCAGTTTAGTCATGCTGCGAACAAACGCCAGCTCCTTCGGCCTGAAAGCGAAATGAGCGTCGCAACCCCATAGTCGCCTTTGACTGGACTTAACTGTCCAGGGATCCTTTACCTTTTTTCTTTACCTTTTACACTTGCAACAAAGTTCTATAGGGTTCCTAAGAAAGAATATGTGTCTGCATTATCTACACGATGGTTACCCCAGTAGCTAATGAACAGACTCTAAATGGAAGTGCAACAGACATTTCCTAAAGCGGACTCACATCTGGCTGTGATATAAAGTCCCAAGCCTCCTTGATCCACAAATAAGTGTCTTCAGAGGCCTGGCTCCTCTGGATGGAGACTTGGTTGTGCGGTGGGTTGACAAGTACATGGCTCTGCTGCTATGAAGGAGTTGAAAGCACAAGTGGGTTTCTTTCTCTCCAACGGATGTCTGACTTGACAATAGCTGCAGGATCAAAGCATATGAAGTTCTTCTTCAACATTCGCATGTCATGGCTCTGGGGCAGAAGAGGCAAGGTTTTTGTCTCAGTTTCCCATAAGAATGTACCACCGTGGAACACATTACCAGCTGTATTCCACCTGCCACAGTGATAATCGGCCTCGTCTTCAGTCTCTGCATTGGTGATGGTTAAATAGCCAATGCTACCTGAGCGGGAAGCAGTGAACCAATCCGGGATCCCTTCTCCCCTGCTGCTGCAACTCTCACAGTGCACAAAACGAGGGGCTTCTCCAGATCTCTGTTGATACCAGGGAATGTAATGGCTGCCATCATTAGTGATACAGGAGAGGTTAACCGTTTGCCCCAGGGTCACAGACTCTGAAGCAGGCTGAGTCCAGGCTGACTGGGAAGTGACACCTTTAAAAAACAAAACAGAAAAGGCAAACGCTATTGTCAGGGAACTTCCATCAGTGCCGGAGGGAGAGAGAGAGCTCCAGAGGGATCCCAGAGAGCGTCACGGGATTGGGAGAGGCAGCCCATCTTCTGGGGAAGGGAATCAGCTCAGCTCCAGTGGAGAAGGGGGGCAGATGGGGAATCTGAGAGGAGTCACATGACTCCTTGCCTGGGACCAGTGGGGGGAGGAAGGGTCCTCCGCTGCCTACGCCTTCCTTGCGCAGAAGGCTTCCACGCAGGGAAAGTAGGAGGCGACTGGGCGTGAAAGAACTTCTATGCTGGAAGAAGTTTAAGAAACGCCCACTGACGGATTCTGCCAGCGATTGAGACAGCCACGGGTGAGTGGCTGTCTGGACAGAAAAGGTTCACTTAGGCAGCCCAGCCAGGTGTGGGCACCGGCTTAGGCACGAGCAACCCCTTGAACCATTACAGCTATGAACTTGGTGCATTTTCAGTTTTCTTAAATAACACCTTGTTTCTATACTAAGTACAAAGAGCTTTCAGTTGACCTGTGTTACATGAGATCATCTCCACAGAATTACCTGAGCAGTAAATGAAAAGAGCGAGGATAAATAGAGACTGCCCCATGGTGAGATTTCTGAAGGAATCTGACTCTCTTTAGGAATCCACCTTAAAAAGGGAGCAGGCTTTGTGAGTCACAGAGTCTGCGTATTTCCTGTTCACAGGATGTTTCTGTTGTGTCTATGCTTTCGTTTCTGTGCCTGAGACACCGAAGCAGGTAGTCATGTTTTTTCTTTGTTCTGACCAACGCTGAATAAACTTGTAAATATGCTCTCCTGAGTGCATCTTTCGCTGTGTGAATTCTGCTGATAGAGCGTGCATCAGCTCTGGAATGTGGCAAGCTATTTCTGGAGCTCGTGTCGCTAATTGCTGATACTGTATCTACGGGAGATCGATGGACGTCCGGAGGCGATGTGGGGTCATGATGGACTTTGTCTCCCTGGCAGTATTGGCCTGGGAGTCGAGCCAAGCAGGCCTCAAGATTTATGAGTAGCCAAGAAAAGAAGTCTTTGAAGGCATAAAGGCTCACAGCTCAAGTGAATAGCTGAGATGGATCTTTTACAATTCTCAGAAGCTGGTTCGTGTCCACCAAAGCTAAATGGCCACAAATATCAGACCTGGGCAAGGTACTGTGAGGGCCAGATGAGGAAGCTTGGTGTGTGGAATGCTATTTCTGAGGACCCCCCAGCCCCTGTGACAGATGATTGGAGGGCACAGGATTCAAGAGCCATGGGGATAATTTTGCTCTCAGTAGCTCCTGAAGAGTTAATCACCCTGGCTGGCAAGGCCAGTGCCCGTGAGATGTGGGATGGGCTTAAAGCCTGTCATCTCCGAC